GGTTTTGTTTCATGTTCTTGTTTTCATGTCTTTTATTTTGTAATTTGATTCATGCTGTTGGTGTCATGCTTCCCTTGCCCTCATGTATTTCTGCCCTGTGTATGTGTCAAGGTCTGACTGGTTGTCATAGTCATGTGTCTTGTTCCCCATTGGTTATTGTCCTGTCATGTGGTTCTCAGTTCTGTTTGCTCATTGGTTGATTCTTGTGATGTGACCCATAGTGTTTGCTACAAATAGCCCTCATGTTCCCACTGTTCTTTGTCGTGTATAAATGTATGTACATGCTGTCGGTGAGTCTAGTCGATTTTTCCGTACATTTCTGCCATATGTACATTGACTGACAGTCACCACTGATAAGCTACTACTAAATATATTGTAAAAACATATACTGTACAGCTGCTTTGCAATGATTTGTATCGTGAAAAGCCCTATACAAATAAACTTGAATTGAATTGAATTGAATATTGTTTGTGTAATATTATAGGCTGCCTTTTATCTGACAGCCATCTATTTTCTTTTTCACTACAGCTGAACTGATTCTACATAAGATTTGAATGTCAGCTGTTGTCCTTTTTATATTTCTTTGCTTATTCTTAAATAAAAATGTCCCTCTTTTTGTGAATAATTTATTTTGTCCTGTTACCAATTGCAAACATGATTATAAAAATGGGCTCCAACTGATCGTCATTATGCAGTAGAATGCAATATCACACAGGATTTCATTTAAAAGATTAGTTCACACAAAAATGAATTAAAAAACTGCCATCAGTTACTCACCCTCAAGTTGATTCCAACCCTGAAAGACTTTTTTGTTTCCTGTGGAACACAAAATAATTAGTTTTGAAAAATGTACTAGCTGCTCTTTTCCATGCAGTTACAATGAATGGGGAATGGCGTTTTTAAGCTTAAAAAAATCATAAATAAATATATATATATTTTTAATTGGCCAGTGGCTCTTAATGAAAGTCTAATATTTTGTATTTTTTGTAACTATATATACAAAAAATAGCAAGATGCAATGAAATGGCAAAAGATATCCGACCAATACATATAGGCACAATTTTTTATTTTATATATATATATTTTTGATTATCTGATGTATTTTTCAGACTCAAGGTTCTCGAGAGATCCTCTAAGATTTGTGACATGCCACAGAAAAGCAGTATCATAAAAGTAGTCCAAACTACTTTTGCTCTATGTAAGTTTTTGGAGTTTTGTCATGTTTTCAGTAGAGAAAATATCCAGTTGTAACAACTGAATTCTAAATGATAAGCTCTTCGTGACAAGTATTAAATTCAGATGATGTCCGAACAATCAAATGCCCTTCACACTGCATGTGAAAGTCATGGAGTGGCATTTCTTATCAGAGTAATAATTACC